AGGACGGTGCCCATGTGAGATGTAGCTCGGTTTTGTGCCCGGCGGCACCACACAGGGTTTCTAAAAGCCCCACCAGATGTGGCTCAAACAGCCAAAACCAGGCAGACACGCGTTTCAGAGCGTTTTGTTCAGGCCATAATGTGTGACTTACTAGAGGAGTCTGTATAAAGGAAACAGCTCTTCAAATACAACATTGTCTTCTGATTTGGGGACAGATTTGTCATAGAAATCCAGGAGAGAACTCAGCGTATGTTAAATTATGTCACAATGCATTGAATTAAAATGCTCCTATTTATGGTGACCCATTCAAGAGTGATCCTGAAACTGATACCATTTCTATTTTCTCTTATCATAGACAAAGGAAAACATGGGTCAGTGAGCTGATATCCAAAACATTTCTTTTCTTAATTGAATTTCTTGGGGTGACATTGGTCAATAAAACCATACAGGTTTCAAATGTACAACTCATGAACCAATCACCTGCATGATGCATCGGGCTCAGCACCAAAGCCAAGTCTCCTTCCACCACCACTGATGCCCCTTTGCATTCCTCTGCCTCCCTCACCCCTTCCCTCTGGCAGTCACCATACTGCTGTTTGTGTCTGTGTTTGTTATTTGCTTAAGCGCTTCACCTTTTTCACACAGCCCCCCAAAGCCCTCCCCTCTAACAGCTGTCAGTCTGTTCCATGTACCCATGCCTCTGTTTCTGTTTTGTTTGTTCATTTATTTTGTTCTTTAGAGTTCACCTAAAAGTGAAATCATATGGTACTTGTCCTCTGCCTGACTTATTTTTCTTAGCATAATGCTCTCCAGGTCCATTTATGCTGTTGCAAAGGGTAAGATTTCCTTCTTTTTCACAGCCTAGAAATATTCCATTGTGTAAATGTACCACCACTTTATTATCCACTCATCTACTGATGGGCACCTGGGCTGCTTCTAAATCTTGGCTACCTATATATAAAAAAAGCCTAAGAGACCAGCAGACCGGCCCATGGCCGACTGGCCATTAGCTATGATGCACAATGACCACCAGGGGGAAGACACTCAACACAGGAGCTGCCAAGCAACAGCAACTTTGCAGGGAATCAGGCCTAAGCCACCAGGTGGACATCCCCCAAGGGGTCCCAGACTGTGAGAGGGTTTAGGCCGGGCTGAGGGAGCCCCCCCCCCCAGTGCAAGAATTTTGTGCACCAGGCCTCTAGTTTTAAATAAAATTATGTAACCTACTTTAGATAATTTTGCTCTAAAGTTAATTTTGTTTCTTAATCAAATGCATTTTTACAACATAAAAAGTCCTTTTTGATGGACGTTTTCAAGAAGTTTTTAATTAACATGGTTTGAATTAGCTCAAGATAGAACTTTACAAAATCCAGGCAGCTCTGTTTCAAATCCAGGGAAGGCAGTTGGTGGGTCCTGTGCAAGTCGTCACACATTCTCAGTAACTCCACGCCTTTCTTCCTGTGTATCACTGAGCACCTGTGTACCTGCACATCCCAGGTGAGCTCACCTGTGCTAGTTACTGCTAGACCCAGTCTGCCTCCCTACTGTCCTCTTTCCCAAACTGGCAGAGAGGAACAGTAGGGAAAGCATGGGTCTTACATAGAGCAGCTGGGGTTGGGTTCAGTCATGACACTCTCTGATCCAAGAATTGATGAATAATATGAGGATGACTCTTGCCCAACCACCTGCTTCATGTGTTTATAATGAAGAACAATGAGCATATACATGTCAAGTGTTTTCTAAATTTCCACACACTATTCCAATGAATGCATTACTGTGAGGATTGTGGCCCATGCTCACAGTCTTAGCCCAGATTCTAAAAATAACCCAAACCTACTCCCAAGTTACAGGCATGTTCAGGAGCCTCAGTTCAGCAATCCAGATGCCTCGGTCTCTAAGACATTCTTGCTGTTTCTCTTGCCAGTGAGCTTACTACAATAACTGTAGGTTTGTTCTAATAACCAGGTCTTGCTTTAGTCCTGGGAACATTGGGGCCCCCAAAAAATACAAATAAATCAACACAAGGAAGTCTTATCCTTCAGAGTCCTGCTTCAGTGTTCTAACAGCAGTCCACCTCCCCTGGACTTGTGGTCTGCCTTTCTCTCTCTCGCCACCTTAGGAGCTCTGACCTGAATCCATGTCCCACAGACAAGACGCTCCTGACACTTCCATTCCTCCCCAATTCTGCCAGGCTGCCTGGCTTGTTGCCTCACTCTCTAGGTTTTGGCTCAATTTATTTACTTTAGCCATTTAGCAGTGTTTGACTCGAGGTAGCAGATTCTTATCCAACCATATACAAACTAGAGGCCCAGTGCACAAAAATTTGTGCACTGGGGGGGGGTCCCTCAGCCCGGCCTGTGCCCTCTCCCAGTCTGGGACCCCTCAGGGGATGTCCACCTGTTGGCTTAGGCCCACTCCCCCGGGGAATGGGCCTAAGCTGGCAGTCAGACATCCCTCTGGCAGCCCGGGAGCCCTCAGGGGATGTCCACTTGCCAGCAGGGATCAGGCCTAAGCTGCAGTCGGACATCCTTAGCGCTGCTGAGGAGGTGGAAGAGTCTCCCGCCACCACCACTGTGCTGGCAGTTGGCAGCCTGGCTTGTGACTGAGCAGAGCTCCTGCTGTGGGAGCGCACTGACCATCAGGGGGCATATCCCGCATTGAGCGTCTGCCCCCTGGTGGTCGGTGTGTGTCATAGTGACCAGTCATTCCCAGTCGTTCTGCTGTTAGCATCAATTTGCATATTACCCTTTTATTATATAGGATGGGGCCTTGTGAGGTTGAGTTCTGTGTTCCTTGAGAGAATGAAGCCAGACCTGCACAGCTGTTAGCTGGTCATGGAGGAAGATGCTTCTTCTTCTTCTTTTTTTTATTGATTTCAGAGAGAGAGGGAAAGGGTTGGGAAGAGAGAGAGAGAGGTATTAATTTTTTGTTCCACTTAGCTGTATACTCATTGGTTGATTCTTGTATGTGCCCTAACTGGGGATTGAGCCCACAACCTTGACATATCAGGGAGAACTACCCAACCAGGGCAATGGTGCTGCTTTTTGGTTGGGAGGTTAGACAAGGTCTCTCCACGGTCCTAGGTCACCTGTTCACTGAGTTGCCCTCCAGAGACTCCTGTTTTCCTGCCCTTGGAGTGCCAAACGTGTTTCTTTCAGATGGACACTTTTTTCCCATTGGCTGATTTAATAAATTTCCATTATGTTCTAGTCAGATCTCAAAGACCCAGAAATCTTTGGCCTTTCTTAGTGCCTTGGTTCATCTCTGCCCTAATCATTTAAGTCTTCATTTTAGAGTTAAATTCTCAGAAGATGACCTGATGGTCTTTCCAAGCGTCTGGCAGGTTATTACACTTTTGTTTTCTCCTAGTTTTCTGTCCCCTGCCCCCCGTACTCTAATGGCCATCAACTCAGGAATGAAAAGTCTTAAGCCACCAGGAACTACACAGTGAAGTGGTAGCCTTCATTTGTCACCATCCCAGCGAGTCACTAGGCATGGAGGTTTTGATTCCATTACAGCTTTGCTGATGTGATTCTTTTAGTCTAAAAGTAGAGCCTTGGCCGGGCAGTTGGTTAGAGCTTCATCTTGATATGGCAGGTTTTGTTCTAGGTCTTATATCTAGGTCTTTGATCCATTTTGAGTTAATTTTTTTTAAAAGGTGACGAATCACAATCTAATTTCCTTGTTTTGCATGTGGCTTTCCAATTTTCCCTGCACCATTTATTGAAGAGGTTTTCTTTTCTCCACTGTATGTTTTTTGCTTCTTTGTCAAAAATTATTTGCCCATTTACATGTGTGTTTACTTCTGGGCTCTCAGTGCTATTCCATTGGTCTGTGTGTCTTTTTTATGTCAATATCATGCTGTTTTGGTGATGGTCATTTTGTCGTCAGGGAATCTGATACCTCCCACTTTGTGTTTTTAACATTCAATGAAATGGGTATAGGAGGAAAGTACCACAACATAATAAAGGCCATATATCACAAACCCTCAGCCAATATCATATCAATGGTGAAAAACTGAGAGCTTTTCCTCTAAGATCAGTAACAAGACAAGGATGCCCATTCTCATCACTTTTATTCAATATATGTAGTTCTGGAAGTTCTAGCCAGAGCAATCAGGCAAGAGAAAGAAATAAAAGGCATCCAAATTGGGAAAAAAGTAAAATTGTCCCTTTTTGCAGACAAAATGATTCTTTATATAGAAAACCTAAAGACTCCACCAAAAAAAATAGTAGAAAAAATAAACAAATACAAGTAAAGTTTTAGGATACAAAATCAATGTACAAAAAGCCATTGTGTTTCTATATACTAACAATGAAATTTCAGAAATAGAAATGAAGAGAACAATTCCTTTTGCAATTCCTACAAAAAGAATAAAATACCTAGGAATAAACTTAACAAAGGATGCGAAGGCCCTATACATTGAAAACTACACAACATTATTTAAAGAAATGGAAGAAGACACAAAGAAATGGAAAGATAGTCTGTGTTTATTCATTGAAAGAGTCAACATAGTTAAATGGCCATATACCACCAGGACTGTGACTCAGATCAGGACCCGAGCTGGCTTTTCATCCCGGACACAGATCTGGGAAAGCTGCTCACAGCCTCTCACAGGGAAAGTGCCTGAGGCCCGTCCTGTCGGACAACAGAGGTCCTGAGCATCCCCATTGCTTCCCTAGACAAGAGCTCATGCTGGAAAGTAATTGCCATCTCAGGCATGAAATTCGCTGGACTTTAAAAAAGCATAGAGCGCTCTAAATGCGAATGGCCTCAGGGTTGCCTTCACAGAGCACCTGGAGACCTAGCGTCCCTAAAGACAGAGTGCTCTTTTAGCCTCCTCTCTTGGAGCCTTAGCATCTAACCCACACATGTGCGAGCTACCAGCAACGGGACACGATCGCTGTATTTTAAAAAGCTCTTTTTCTTGTCTCAGTTTCTACAGATAAAGTGATCTGAATGAATGAATGAATGAAGCCACGAAGCAGAAAAGAGGCGAGTTTCTACAGATAAAGTGATCTGAATGAATGAATGAAGCCACAAAGCAGAAAAGAGGCATTCTGACAACCCCAGAGATGTCAGAGGAGATTCCTTACTGGAGAGCAACATCTTTGGTTCAATTTGCATAAAAACCCAAATAAATAAAATGGACAGTATTGTTCAGTCTTAGAAATTCCATTTCTTCTATGTTCTGAGCTGTATAATTGTCAGATTTTTATGGTTTAGATTGTAAATGTGTGTTTCCCTTTGCTAATTATGTTTGGGTTGTTGTTGTTGTTGTTTGTCTTAAAAATCTTAAAATGTGAAGGATATTATGAATGGTAAGGGAGACACTATATACAAATGTATATTTGTAAAAGCTATTTTTATGATTAGCATGTTTCACCATTGATCATATATAAAGTCGGGTGATATTGCAATTCTATGTTTAAAGCTTATTCCCAACAATGTTATGTAAGAAAAGATACATCATATGCTAGTTTTTGTAATTTATTTTTAATTTATAGTTTAAAGTACTTCAGATCATAAAGATAAAATACTTGAAAAGGTTATATTTCTGCCCTATATGCGCACCATTTTTACTCATAAGGAATGCAACAATTTCAGATGTGAGTCAAGAGCTAAAGGTGTCGGCGTGACCTGTGGTTGAGTTCAGCATCCCCCTGCTCTCCTGGATGGGATGACCCTGCTCTCACCCAACCCGCGGTCAGGGGCGGGAGACCCCGGGGCAGGTGTCAGTGTGAGTGCAGGTGAGAATGAGGAGGGATGGTCTCGTCTTGGACCCACGCGTGTACCTGAGTGCCAGCATCGTCCATCTCCTGCGACCAGGAGCCCCCTCCCCGAGCATCGCCAGTGTTCTCCGGAGCGAGCTGCCGCCTTGCGCTGTGGAAATGGAAGAGCCCAACCTCACAGCCTGGGAGAGTTCAGCACATAATTTCTTAATAAATTCTGTTTCTTTTCAAACAAAGGTGGTGTGTGGCTTTCCTTTGGGGAGCTCTAAGGTGTAATATTCAGTTTGGGTTCTTAAGTCACTGGAATGCCATGAAGTCAGTGCCATAATGAGAGCAGCATGATTTACTGACACACAAGCCATGTGCCCCACATGCCCGTGCTCTTCGTGTGGGAACTTGGGGGGCAGGTAGATGTGCCTGGGAGAGGATGCCGATGGGGCGGGCCTCAGCCCTGCCCGGAGTCACACTCTGCTCTCCGTTTCTCCAAGGCATGCTTTCTTATCCAAATATAGAAATGTTAAGAAAGTTATTCAGGATAAGAAAGAAAACTACACTCACATAGGTAGTTACGCCCAACTCGAACTTCACCACTCAACATGCAAGTTTCTCAGGACAGAGCAGAGAGGAGATGTGATGTCACCGGGTCACGTGGGAGGAAGGCTCCTGTTTACAGAGACACTGAGCTACGTCAGGTGCTTCCTCTTATCTTCCTTAAGCTAATTTATCATCTTTCTCTATGTCTTTCAAATACCAATAATGAAAATTATACATTCATCCAACAGACGGTATTACCCAAAATGGAAAGAGTGAAAACATCAATCAGAAACTTGTACACTAGAATTCGGACCTGGGTTCCAGTTCTCCCCCCAGGAAGATGTGAAACCCAGAGTGAAGCCTGGAAGACCTGTGATGCCCCGACCAGGTCCCGAAGCTGGAATGAACATGCGCGAGTTTCTAGAAGAGAAAACCAGCTGAGTGATCTCTTTGCTGCCAAATAGCCCAGTGTTCCAGGAAGGAAGTGTGTCGCAGGTGCTGTTAGGAAACACGTGTGAGTCCTTTCCCAACATGCTATTTGTCTGTCCTTGCGGTAGTAATAAACGATATAACATATAATCTAGCATTATCATAAATTCAGACTCATACTTTCCCAGACATTCATTAACTGTTCTCACAATGGGATGAAGAGTTAAAATGGGTAGAATTACTCTCTATTATTGGAGTTCACTTTCTCCCATCAGGCCTTGAAGTTGGACACCATGGGTCTTTCCCTGTATTCATTACCCATCCCTGGCTTCAGCATTTCTTTTGGTGACAAAGGTGGGATAAAATATATGCCAGACCAACCAACTATAGATTATTTGGGATTATAATCCCTGAAGGTTTAGTTTAATAAACTGAAAGGAAGCTTTTAGGAGATAAGGAGGAAAGCATGGACTTCTTCTAACTCCATATAATGACAGTCCCATAAAAAAAGATGGGGGAGAGGGAAGCAAAGGGATATTACTCACTGCATTTAGTTCAGGAAAAATGTGGGAAAACAGGCCCCTGCTTGAGAAGTTGGGTCACTGGTGACTGGTGACAATGTGAAGGGAAATGAAAATTTTGCTCCCATCATCTGAAAATGATCCTTTTGTTGAAAAGTAGAAATACACATTACAGTAAGATAAAAATGAAGCAGAGGTAAAGAGGAAACTGTTTTAAAGTTCAGAGAACAGGAGTGACAAGCACAAAGGGCTGTAGAACTCTGATAGGAAGTATAAGTGCAGGAGCCCAGCCTGCAGTCGCTGGGGGACATTCATGCACCTTGTGGACCAGGCGCTCACCAGCTGGGTCCCACGGCCGCCTGGCATGGAAACGCAGACACCGCAGGCCAGGCCTCCTGACTTCTCAGACCAGGTAGACATCAGAGGGCCGAACGGGAGAGCCCGAGGTTTTGTTTTAATGTGAATCTGAAGGTGAATGAAATCATGTCTGGGATTTATGTCCAGGACTTAATAGTCGTAAAGTTTAAAAAGTAAACTTACAATAATAAGAAACAACAAATTCAGGATTATCTCTGGTGAGAAAAGGGAGAGTAGAATAGGGGTATTCAATAACACCCATAATATTTAATTTATTAGGAAAATAATTGACACAAATGTTTTGAATCAAACAAATATCAAAAGTTAAAGTTTTGATAAAAGTAAGTGTAGACTACATTGGAAGTTCCCATCTAACCAAACTAGGCGTCCTGGGGTCTGATGGGAAAATTCTGTTTGAAAATGCCACACCCAGCATGCCTGGGTCACCGTGTGGATGCAGCAGATCTAGAGACCCAACCATATACTAGTCCTGCTGAATTCCTAAAAACATTCTGGAATAACTGCCTGAAATATTATACCACAGGATTAAAATCAAAAGTGCAAGCAACATTTAAAGAAAAAATATCTAATGATGACCACTGAATTCAATAAATCAGAGTTGTGTGTACATAATTGTTGCAATGATATAACATGGAATGTAAAAATAGCAAACAAAAACATTCTTTCAAAAAAACATGATTGAGAAACCAAGATGGCGGCATAGGTAAACACCGGAGATTGCTGCCTCGCACAACCACTTCAAAAATACAACTAAAAGACGGAACGGACATCATCCAGAACCACAGGAAGGCTGGC